GTTACCACTGGCACAGCAGGAGGGCCAGGCAGGCCAGCAGCGCCCCGCAGCGCGCCCCCGGGACCCTCATCGCGGAGGCGGCGAGCGAGACCGAGCCGAGGCGGCGGGCGGAGCTGCAGCCCGGCGGGAGGGCGGCTTCAGCCAGCAGGGCGCCCACCCCGCCCGCCGCTTGGGGGAGGCGACAGCGGGGCACTTCCAGGAAGCTCGCCGGGGGAGGGGTCAGCGCGAGGCCCAGCGCCCCCGCGCTCGGGGCGGGAGGCTGAAGTGTGCGAGCGGGCGCGGGGAGCGGGGCGCGGGGAGCGGGCGCCCGGAGGACGCCGCGGCGGGAGCTCGGGTCGGAGCGAGAGCCCGAGCCTGGCGGCGGCGCGGAGATCACCCGGCGCCTGGACGCCCCTGAGCGCGGCGTGCAAGCCCGCAAGTCCGCAGAGGACAGAAGACGTGGAAGAAAATGCGACCCCTTGGAGCCTCCACAGTTTTGTTTGGGTGTTGTATTTAGCACGTAAAATAGCAAGGAAAAAAGTTTCGAAAAATAAAAAAGAACGCATCAAATCCCAGCACGTGGAAGCCGCTTGTCTGCCTGCTTCACTGCAGTAGGTTTTTGTCCTTAGTGATGTCCGTGTGACATGTGTTTATGGCTGCTGATAGGTTCTGGCCCTAGTGTGAGTTGCTGACATCGTTATGGTGGTCATCTAATGATGCCCTTAACACAAAAGCCCGCCTTCCCAAGACCACCTCCCCCTTCTTCTCCAATTTGGTCCAGTCAACTTTCCCACCACCTCAGGGAAGACGCCCAGTTTCTCAGGTATATCTAAACATCGCCTTCAAACCCCTCCTCGGTAGAAGGCTGTAAAAGCCTCAGTCTCCCTTTTTCCAGTCCAGAGAATTTCTTAACTTTCCCAAATTCTCTCCATGTCCTCAAAGAAAATAAAGCCCTTTCCCTTTTGCCTTCTGCCTCTTTCTCCGCTGTGCTAAGTACCTGGAAAAAAACAAACAAACAAACAGAAAACATCAGCTGCTTTGAAGCTAAAACGACTGAGTTGAAGTCACGGACCAACGCAGCGACCTGCTGCGTGATTTCAAATTGTGGCACCTGTCTCATCTGTAAAGTAGAGAGAGCAATAGGTTAGTGTTGAGTCAGTAAGATAGAATCAATAGTAGTAATCATACACATATTTTTCATTTTCTGCCCAAATAAAGTAGCAGTGGATTCCTTAAGCCTGAGTGAAGCACAACAGAAAAATGTTTTGAGTATGCCCTCAGCTGCAGACTTTATGGTTTCTGATCCAGCCGGATGGATCTTAGTCACTTCTGCTAAGAGTGTGGGCTGGAGAACTGCCAACTCGTCCAGTAGGGACAGAAAATGCGATAGCTTGTTATGCTGTGTGCCCATTTCACAGACAGCTAAGCTAAGTAAAATTATTATAGGCTGTGGGGCAGGGCTAGGCCCTCGAGGGAGGCAATGCAGAAGATAAAAACACACTCTCCCTGTGGCTGGGGGCACATCCGTTGGAGGCCAGGCCTCAAGCTAAAGGCAGAATGACCAGGCCTGCAAGCCTTCCTGGAGGTGCAGAAAATATTCCCTTGGCCCCTGACTCACCTCGACAGGAAAAGTCCTTTCCAGCTTCTCTGGTACCTGACCTGACCCCCATTGGATCAGTGTCACCTCAGCGGCTCAGCCTGTCCTCTTACTGGGTGATTATAGTGCCCTCCCACATTGTCCCCACCTCCTGCTTTTACTCTGTGAAAGGTCCTCTCTCAAGTGAGCTCTCCAGCAACCTGGTTATCAGCTCCTCTCCTGTCTCCAAGGAACTCTCTCTATCCCTCTCAATAAATATTTCCTGCTCTTTCTTATAGGCAGCTGAATTAGATAGAAATAGTACAGGCAGTCAGACAGGGCTAGGCCCTCCAGGAGGCAAAATGGAAGACAAGGTGACTGCAACTTTGCCAGTGACAGACACTCCCTGGGTGGGCCAGAGCTCAAGACAACAGAGTAAACAAGTATTTACTCCGTCACTTTCTAGACAAATGTCATTTTGTCTTTAGCCACCCGTCTCCTGGGATGGGAATCAGGAATTGATATTCTGAAAAGTTATCAATCACCTTGAAAAAGACAGAAAGAGAGAAGGCCAAGTAGCTCAAAGGATTAAAGCGCCTGCTTAGGCTGATGCAGGGGCTGGGGGTTCGATCCCCAGACCTGCCATGCCAGCCCTTCCCCTGAGAAAGCAATTGAGACTGGGCATGGAGAACACACCAGTAATCCCAGCTCTTGGGAGGCTATACAACAGGAGGATCACTACAAGTGTGGTCTAGTAATAAGACCCTGAACACCCTGTAGGCCCTTCTCTAAAGTACAGGGGGAAGAAAAGGAAAAAGTCACTAATCCAACCCCCAAAAGGAGGAGACCCTGTTCCATATTCATGCCCATTTGCTATGTGACTCTCTTCCTCATTTGTTCCTGGATTTAATCAATTTGATCTGAGCTATGGTGCTTATAACATCATTTGTTAACCATAGTTTTGTCCCACCTCCTGCCTGATCGAAGCAAGTTCCCGTGTTCTCCACCTTAGATCAGCCTCGCTGCATAGTCTGCTCTATAAAAATCCCTAGGAACAGCAGATTCTCAGGGCAACCTGCCCCGGTCACCTTCCTGTCTCTGTCTCTCTCTGACAGAAGCTTTATGATAGGTTTTTCAGGCGCCTGGCGCAGCACAGAAACAAACAAAAGGAAAAAGAGAAAGAAGCCTTATTTTCTTCTGAGCACAAGGAAACAATTTGGGGAAGATGAGGAATTCTTGACTGGAACAAAGGGAGACTGAGGCTTTGTGGCCTTCTGCCAAGGGTGGGGCTTGAGGGGACATTTAGATAGACCTGAGAGGCTGACTGGGGTCTTCCCTGAGGTGGCAGGAAGGGTGAAAGGAAATTGCACCCTGGGCTGAGCTGGAGAAGAAGGGGAGGTGGTCTTGGGAAGATGGGCTGTTGTTTTTAAGTGCTTCAGCCATGTTAGATGGCCACCGTAATGATTCAGCAACTCATACTAGGCCAGAACCCATCACTTACTTTCCCCCAGTAAATATTTGCTCTTAACCTCCATTGTTCCTAAAATTCATTCTTTGGTTTTAAAGAACACAGGCTCAACCCAGGCATCTTTCAGGTTGGGCGTTTCGTTCCTCCATATTGTCTTCACCTATGGTTTCCCTATGCAGTTCAAGCTGGCCTTGGACTCACTTCGTGGCCCAGTCTGGCCTAGAACTCCCAGCAATCCTCCTGCCTCAGCCTCCTTCCCCAGTGCTGGGATTCTAGGCGTGTACCATCACACGCAGCCTGCTTTCCTCTTTAAATTCTCTTCTTCTAGTATCTCTGATTCTTCCAGATCGGTTAATTTAACATTTTCATCTCAATCCCAAGTGATTTAAATATAAATAAAATTCTTAGTGTTTACATTCAGTTTGATTGGAGAATTTCAGCCTGGGAATATTTACGCCAAAATATCACCAAAGGGTAGCGAGATGGCTCAGTGGACTAAGTGCCTACTTAGGCAAGCACAGAGACCAGGGTTGGAGCACTGGCACCAAAAGCCACGCTGGCCCAGCGCGCTGAGCTGGCCACTGAGACTGGCATTGTGGCCCACACTTGTAATCCCAGTGCTGGGGAGGCTGAGGCAGGAGGATCACCGTGGATAGATATAGATATAGATATATAATCTTAGCAAAGACGATAATGATATGGGAGAATGAAACTCCCAACCTGAAAGACACGTGAGACAAATTCGTGTTCTCTATAACTGAAAAATGAATTTTAGGAACAGCAGAGGTTAACAGCAGTATATATGATATATAATATATGTGCAGAATATACATATATATTTTATTTTATTTTGCAGAACCAGAGATTGAACTCAGGCCCTTGCGCTTGCCAGGGAAGTGCTTACTCTACCGAGCCATCTCCTGGCCCCAGCAGGATACATTTACTGGGGAAAGAAAGCTTCTGACTGAGAGAGAGACAGAAGGGGGATCTGAGCAGGCTGCCTAGGAATCTGCCTTTCTAGGGTTTTATAGAGCAAAACCACGAGGTGAGATGGGTCAAAGGTGGGAAACACAGGAACTTGCGCATGAAGGGGGACAAAACTGTGGTCCACCAATAAGATTAATTGCTCAGGTAAAACTGACGAAATTGGTATCAAATGGGGAAGCCAGTCCTGCAGCAAGCAGGTATGAAAACAGAACAGGAGTTTTCCTGTAGGGGCTAGGTCAGTGTCTCCTGGCCCTTTCAAGGTGACTGATACCTATTTATTTATTGACTTATTTATTGTTCTGTATTTTAGGGAAGGGTCTCCAGGGTGTTCAGGGTCTCAGTACTACACAGGCCGCTTGGCAGCCCCGGGGAATTGAACCCCCGGCCGCTTCACCTGCTTGCAGGTGCTTTAATCCACTGAGCTATCTGGCCAGCCCTTGATACCTACTTAGAATTCGAATTCCTGGTGCCCATCCCTCAGGAAATAAGTGGCTGCGTTTGTCTAGTCTTTTGTCTCGAGGTCTGGCGCCCGGCTGGAGTGCCGTCTCCGACACAGGTGCAAGGTCTTGTCTTCCATAGTGTGTTCTGAGGCCCCGCCCTGCTCACTGCCTGTAACGTCTCTCTCTAGCTCAGCTGCCCGTAACAACAGGAGCCGGGCTGGCCAGATAGCTCAGCAGACTAAAGCACCTGCTTAGGCAGAGCGCGCAGGGGGGTTTGATCCCTGGTGTGCCGTGCCGCCCGTCCCCGCCCCGGGGTGCACTGAGACAGTGACTGAGACTGGACGTGGTGGCGCGTGCCTGTAATCCCAGCTCCTGGGAGGCTGGAAACAGGAGGATCACTGCAAGTCCCACCAGCGTAGTGAGACCCTGTAGGCCCTGTACTAAATACATGAAATAATTTTTTTTAAAAAACTGCAAGAGCAAAGCTGTGTTTATCACGCAGAATACACTAGATTACATCATGATAAAAATATTTAAAAAATTGTATTGGTTTAGAAACCAAGTGTTTGTTTCTTGATTGTGGGATGGTCAGGTCCGCCTGAACTTTTTATTCATATTCTTTATTAGTACATGTTTTGAACAAAGAGTGATTGCGTTTATTGTTGGGAAGCTCATGTAGGTATGTGTCACACCGCTACTCTTTCAAGTCCCCTCCCATCCCTCCCTGGCTCCTCCTACTCTCCTTTGTCTTCCTATGTCAAAGGGCTCTCCATACTTCCCACTATGTGTCTTTTCTTTTGTTCTTTGAATGTCTCATATAAGAGAAAACATGTGATTTTTAAGCTCGTGTGCATCCGATTTGTGTCACTTAATATTATATCCTCGAGGTGCATCCATTTTCCAACAGATAGTTCCGCTGAACCCTCTGTGGCAGCGTGTCGCCCGCTGCACCGGAAGGCCCCTGTCTTGCACTCGTCTGTTGTGACGTTGGCCTGCTTCTGAGACGGAGCTGTGATAAAGGGCGCTGCTGTAACGTGAGAGTGCACCTGTCACTATAATTTGATTTCTTAAACTGTTTTGGAAAGATACCTTCCTTTTCTCTCGCTGCCTGGTCAGCACATGTGTTATTATGTGATTTCGTAATGACGGCCTTTCTTTCTGGAATAAGACACTATCTCAGTATTGTTTTAACTTGCATTTTTGCAGTGGACAGCAATGTCGAATGTCTTAAAAATGTATGTATTGATATTTTATGTCTTTTGAGAATTGTCCATTCATTTCAGATGCCCATTTTTATAGGATCTTTTATTTTGGGGGTTCTAGTTATTTTAAGTCCTTTATATATTCTAGATATTAGTCCTTTGTCCGAGGAATAGCTGGAAAAATATTTTCTCATTCTGTAAGTTGTCATTTTATTCTATTGGGTTTTTGTTTGCCTGTTTATTTGTTCGCTTCTTTTTGCGTAGAAGCATTTTGGCAAGATCCCGTGTGCTATTTCCTGGTATTGTTTATTGTGCCGTTGGAGCTCTAGTCAGACGGAGCACAGTATCGTCAAGACTTGTACCTATTTTATTTTCCAGTAGATTGTTTCCGTTTTAACATTTAGATCTTTGATTCATTTTGAGTTTTGCTCAGTACGTGATGACACATATGGCTCTAGACTTTTCTCTATGTGGCTATCCAATTCTCCCAGTGTCGTTTAAAGCAGACAAATAGCTGAGTACGTCTCGGGCTGTTTCTGCTTCCTCGTTCTGTTCCTCTGATCCACGTGACTGTTTTGTGCAGTGCCACGCTGTTTTAATCGCTATGGCTCTGTAATGTAACTTCGAAGCTGGGATCACAGTGCTTCCTGCCTTGCTATTGCTACCCAGAATTGCTCCTGCTGTTCTAAGTCTCTTCTGGCTCCATATGAATTGGGGGATTTTTAAAAATTTTTATTTTGAGACAGTGTCTCACTATGTGATCTAAGTTGGCCTCAAACTCAGGGCTATCGTCATGCCTCAGCCTCCTGAGTGCTGGGATTCAAGGCCTGTGCCTCGATGTTGGCTGGTTTTATCTAGCTCTCTGAGGAATCATATTGGTATTTTAAATAGGATATATATATATATATATATATATATATATATATCTCAGTATATCAGTTTTGGAAGTATACTTACTTTGACTATATTGGCTCTGCTTGTCCAGGGATATGGGATATCTTTCCATTTTTCTGATTACCTCTTCTTTTCATTTAAAGAAAATTTTTTGTCTTCTTTGAGACGGGATCTCACTATACCACTCAGGCTGGCCTTGGGCTCGCTTTGTAGTCCAAGCTGGTCTCAAACTTGCAACGATCCTCCTGCCTCAGCCTCCTGAGTGCTGGGATTGCAGATGCACGCCACCTCTGATGTCCTCTCCTAGCTCCTTTTTCAGAGTGATGTAATTTCTGTTGTAGAAGTCTTTCACTGTCTTGATTTGGTTAATTCCTGTGTTCCATTTATCTTTTCTTTTTTTTTTTTTATGTATTTGGTGCAGGGTCTCACTCTGCAGCTCGGACTTGTAGCGATCCTCCTGTTTTCAGCCTCCCAGTGCTGGGATTACAGGCGTGCGCCACCACACCTGGTCTCAGGGGCCAGCTCAGCGTGCCTGGTGTAAGGCCAGTGGGGCGTTGGTGCTCTGCATCAAACCTGGTCCCCGCGCTTGCCTAAGCGGGCGCTTAATCTGCTGAGCTATCTAGCTGGCCCTATTCCATTTTTCTTGATGCTATTGCGAATGTTTTTCTAATTTCTTTCTTGTGAGTTCATTGTTAGTTTATAGGAACACTCTGGATGTTTGTGCAAAATAATAATAATAAATAGAAAATAATTTTTGCATTTATATTATATCTTGCTACATTGCTGAATTTGGTTATTAGTTCTAGGCGTCTGTTACTGGAATTTTTGGGGGCCTTGTAAGTACAGGATCATGTTACCTACACGATGGTATGTTGAATTTCTCCTCTCCTATACGTACCACGTTTGTTTGTTTCTCTTGGCTCACTGCTCCGGTTAATATTTTAAGGAGTATGTTGAACAGAGCAGTGAGAGTGAACATTCTTGACATGTTCCTGATTTTAAAGGAAAAGCTTGCAACTTTCTCCCATTCAATATCACATTGGCGACAGCTTTCTCAGAAATGACTTTATCAGTTTGAGGAGGAGCCTCCTACAACTGTTCCTATGTCTGCGTGGACGCCCAGCTAACTCCCAGGCGGCTGTTTTCCATGTGTTGGCTGCACCTTCCAGGCCGCTTTGATTGTATCATCTCTCAGAATCCGCATGGCTTTACCCAGCTGCCACTGCAAGGGGAGGGAAAACAGACTTGTAAACCAGCTCCTAAATACTCACCAAAAGGGGACACACTACTTACATGTCACAGGACAAGGCAAGTGGCACGACAGTGCTAATTCCACAAGGTGAGAGTAACTACTTCTTGCACCTGCAAGGAAAGGAGAACTAGAAGTGATGCACACTTTTATGCCTGTAAAGAAACTCACAGTTCTGAAAAACTAAGAGTCAACTCTTCTCACTCTCACGAGGGGCAACCTGTGCACTGCAGATGCTTTCCAACAAAGATTGTGTTAAGTCTAGTTTCAGAAATGCTTAAAAGCATTCACTCAGTAAGACGCTTGAGGCACACACATACTAACTGATATCTCCAAGAGAACTCGTGGGTTTTTTTTTTTTTTTAATAAGGAAAGCAGAGAGATATTGCAAGGTCTTAGGAGTACATATAAAAAGCCAGAGGAAGAGTGGCCAGGGAGATAAAAAGAGAATTGGAAGCGCATAAGATTGTGAAAAGTCATGGCAAGAATTTTAGATGAGTTAACGTCATGAAATGTATACAAAGCTTCAAAGGAAAAGAGAACTTAGAATAAGACGGACGTTATACCCCAAAAGCATGTTCTGAGTAGTTTGATAGGATCACAGAATATAGCTACAATGGTGAACATCAGTAATAGAGGTTTCACATTTGCAAGCTATTAGTTTTAGAAAAAGTGTGGTAAAAAACAACAGGAATGTAGCTCTTCAGAACTGGGGAACTGCGGGCCTTCTCCCATCCTCCCTGCCATCAGGACAAGACGTCATTAATGTTTATGAGACGGGTGATACCAATTTCCAAATCTGCTATTATCTGTGAGAAACTGCACTCAAGTTGTCTTTCCCTCTTTTCATCATTTTAGTAACTCTGAAAAGTAAATATTTTCTTTCTTTTTTTGTGTGTGGGTTTTTTTGGGGGGTGGGCTTTGGAGACAGAATCTCACTGTACTGCTCAGGCTGGCCTTGAGCTCACTTTGTAGCCCAGGCTGGTTTGAAACTCTCAAGCATCCTCCTGCCTCAGCCTCCTGAGTGCTGCAATTACAAGCATGTTCCACCACGCCAGGCTTAAAATATCTCAGAATCTAGCTATGCAGCTCGATCTTGTACTGATCCTCCTCTCGGCCTCCCCAGCGCTGGGATTACAGGCATGTGCCACAATGCCCAGTTTCGGTGGCCGGCACAGTGCGCCTGGGATTCCAAGGCTGGCATAGCATGTGGTCCAAGGGATGGAACCTGGGTTCTTGCGCTTGCCAGGCAGGCGCTTAGGAAAAGTAGGTATTTTCATTCTCAGTTTCCCTGATAAGTTTCAGAGGTGCAAAAGTTACTAAGGTCGTCAAGTGTGTTAGTAATGAGACAGAATAATTTAAAACCTAGAATAATATTTGTCCCAAGTCACTATTTTCCCTGTATTCCCTGGGATCTTTAGTGATCTCTATGTTTTTATCAGAATTTAGAAGTATATGTAAATCAAAGAGGAATGGACACACACACATATTCCTAACTTTTTTGAGGGGAATGCATCCCCCCAAAAAAACATACTGGAAATCCAGATATCACATATGTATTTTTTATCATTTATCGTTATTATTTATTTATTTATTTATTTATTTATATTTGTGTGTGTGTGTGTGTGTGGCCAGCTCAGCCCGCCTGGGGGCAGGACTGGCTGGCATGTGGTGCTGGGGGATTGAACCGCGGTCCATGTGCGTTGCTAAACTTGTTCTAAGTAGGTGCTTTAGACCACTGAGTCATCTCACCAGCTCTCACATATGTCTTTAAAAATAAAACATTACAAAAATAGTCAATAGGTCGCAATTCCAACTTTTGGAAGCCAAATAGCCAGCAATCTACACATCAAAAAATCTGAGAAAGAGTAGTTATCTTTCAGTGGTCAGTGTAAAATATTTCCTTCATTTTGTTCGTTTTAGTGCTTTTAAACATATATTTCTTTCTTTTGTAATTATGATCCTCTCCTACAGAAAATATCATATAATTACATTTGTTAATTTAAGTAAAAATAGCGATAAAAATTACAGATCAAAACATTATTCTTCTTTGAACTATTGAGATTGCTTAGTAATAATGGTCTCATTTTGTCCCCTCCAGCCCCCCGCACGTCAACATTCCGAGTTGGCCAGAATCCATAGAGGATTCCCATTCCTGCTTGCACAAATTCAGAGCTGCTAATTGGAGTTGGAAGCAGGCTATGCATGGAATCCCAGCATTCCGGAAGCTGGGGCAGCAGGATCATTGTGGCTACAAAGTGACCAGCCTGGGGTACGACCAGCCTGGGGTATAAAGTGAGTTCAAAGCCAGCCTTAACTGCAAAGAGAGACTCTGTGTAGAAAAAACAATTGGAGATCGATCAAAATCAGAATGCACGGCAAGTAACACACTCTGGATGGGTGTATCAGGTTAAGCCTTGACTGAGATCTACCCAGGATCCCTCGGATTAACTCTGGACGCTCTCGTTGCCTAGTTACAGGGGCTCTCCCCGCGGAGCTCCGCCTTCTTCTTCTAGAGCCCGCCTACTTCCCCTTTCCACCTCTCCGAGTGGGCGGACGACCAGGACCCTTTAGCCACTCAGAGAGCCCAAACACAGATCTGCAATCAATGATTGGAGAGCTACAATGTGGGCGGTGCCTGAGGGCGGGCCTTCCGCGTCTCGGAAAACGTCAGCACGTCGGTGCTGGGCTTTGCTCGGGCCGGACCCGCTAACTGGGCTCGAGTGTTTGCCCCTCGGGTCCCGGCGTCCCAGGGGAGCAGGGTAGTTGTGCCCCACTCGCGAGCGGAGCGGCGGGGCGTGGGGCTCGGCCCGGCCACCTTGCCTGCCGGCAGCCCGCCTCCGGGCCTACCCGCCTCCTCGTCGTCTGGGAGGCCGGGCTCCTGGGATCGGCCGGGAGGCTGGGCGTCCCGGCCGCGGGCGCGGATGCGCGGTGGCGGCGCGGGCGGCCTGGCATGTTCGGGCTGATGGCCAATTGCTGCAGCTGGTTCAAGCGCTGGCGGGAGCCCGTCAGGTAGGCGGCGTCCGCGGGGCCGGGCGGCGGGCGGCGGGCGGCGGGCGGGCGGGGTCCCTGTGGTTCCCTGCCAGTCGTGGTCAGTAGTTCCACCGCCCTTGTAATTTACCTTGAGTTTGAGTTTCTTAAAAAGTTGTTTGTGTATGATCGGAAACTGTCCTTAGTGTATTTTTCTTCTGAAAGTTTTCTAATGGACTTTTTAAAAGGACAGGCATAGAACATATTCCTC